AATACCCAATTACCGGTGGGGGCACATTTCTCACAAGAAAACCACTCTCTCTCCAATCTCAGTCCTGATGCTCAAGGGAAACTTACACAACACTTCCCAGACACGAGCCTATGAACTCCATTTCATCAACCTCCTGGATACTAAAAATCATGGACAAATATAGACATTGGATTTTTGATACATTATAATCTGCCTGGCAACTGACTCCCCAGCCCAGCCCCTGGCTTCTTTACTTTTCATTCCATCCAGGAAGAGCACACACCAACTGCTGAAACTTCCTTAGCCTGACGAAGGGTTTTTGAACCTGAAAGTTTGCTTAATAACTATTCTCCAACTACTTGGGTTGGTCTAATAAAAGATATCAAATTCACCCAAGGAACCTTGTCTGCCTATGTCCTTAGACCAACACAGCTACAACCTACACCCCTAAAAAAAATGTATACACTTTCTGGCAAATCAGCATTAAATTAACAAAGCAGATTCATAAGAATATTCCTAAAGAGTTCAAGTGCCTGCTACAAATTATTTGTCTGGAGTGTCTTACAAAGTATTGTTTAAAAAGTACTATGTCCAATGACCAAGGGAGGAAAAGTCTACATGCCCCTCAACCCTCACCCCCTAACAAAAAAAAATGGACAGAATGGAAAGTATGCATGCTTTAAAATGGGCAACTATTCACTGGACTAGTTAATTTAATCAGCTTTCAGTCATTTGTTATGATTGTTTTATAGAGTGTATTATGTTTTCAATTTATAGATTGTTGAGCCTGAAGGAGATTTCTGTGTTCCAAGTTGTGTAGGAGGCATTGCTGATGAAGAAGGTGGCTCTGATTTTACTCTTCACTCTCCACTTGATGATGTGAATGTGATTGACTTGAAATGGATATGTCACCTGATACTTAAAACTATAGAACTATTATACAAAATGAAGAAATGGGAAGCCCTGGTACATATAGCTATGCAGTTTAATATTATTACACAGTAAGTAACAGTTAGGGGCTTATGAAAAGAAGAAAGCTAGATCCTGCATTTAAAATATTTGTAATTTTGACTTCTAACAATACTTGTTGTTTTTTAGTGAGAGATATGCAGAACAAGTTACTCCATTGCTGGTATATGCACAAAGACAGCTCTTGGAAAGAATACAGCAGTTCAGGGGTCCAAATAGCCCTGAACCTTATTTTATAAAAAATTGGACTGATAATTTGGACAAGGTAAGCGGTTTATGTTTTTAGGTGCTGACTCTCACTGTGTGTGTCTACACATAAATTTAAACAGGCTTAAATTTAATGCGCGTTAAACTAATGCAAATTAAGTGGGTTTTGGCAGATGTCTACATGTGGTGGGGCTTGGGACTAACTTTAATTCCAGGTTACTTGAGCCTTGCCATGTGCCCCTGCAGCCACCAGGGGGAGCTCCAGACAGTGACTGCCAGCACGTGGCAGCCATGATGAAGCCAGAGCCAGGTGCCAGCATTTAGCAGCCATCTTGGAAACATACCCCTGCCCTCTGATCCCTGACCAGCCCCTTCCCTGCTCAGAATCTGCGTACCCAGCATGGGGGCAGCATTCACCAGCTCCCTCCTTGCCCACCCTGCCTCCCTGCACCCACCCCCCGCCCCGCCCCTGCCAGCGACACCCAGTACACCGCTCTTTCAGCCGAGCCCCTGCCAGCAATGACCAGCATGCCATGCTCCTGCTGGCCATGGTGCTGGCCCTGCTGGCCCCAACAGGCACCCTCCCCTCTTCCACCCACCCTTGCCCAGGCCCTAGGAGAGCTGTGCATCTACCAGCAGGGGCCAGGGCACTGGCTGCAGGAGTCCCTGAATGACCCCCTTCCCTGCACTTCCTGCTCCAGACAGCCTGCCCCACTGCCCACCCTCCCACACCCTGTCCACCCCCAGCATCACTGTCAGGACATGCACATGGTTGAAACAGAAAAACTTTATTACCCTCACACTCCCCCATTCCTTCTCCCTCAACAAACAGTGCCCCTCTACCACCCTCCCAACCCACCAATAATAAAAAACCTGCCTACAAGTGGCAAACTAGCCCTGGGTGGGGAGAGGCACCAAGCCAGGAGCCATGTGGCTAGGCTCTAGCTGGCCCCCTAGTGCCTGGGCAGACCCAGGACTAAATTCCCTGCCTTAATGAGAGTCATGTGTCTACACATGCATTAATCCGCATTAAGTAATCCCACTTAAATTTGATACTTGGTTTGGGCAGATATCAAATTTAGGCTCACATAGTCTAAAATTGCCATTTTAAGGCACATTAAGGGTGTGCATGTGTGGATACGCATCCCTAATATGGTTTAAATTGGGCTAATCCATTTTAAATGGCCATGTGTAAACACGCCCAATGTGAATTAAATCTAAAAAAAGTGCTTCATTCACTGTGTTTTAGTAGATTAGAAATATTTTTTTACTAATGTTCTTTTACAACAAACAGTAATTTTCAATGTGAAAGTTTTGGAAAAAAATGAAAATTATAACGCGATGTTATAGTACGGTACTTGTGAACAAGGAGGTCCTGTCCTGAGTTATTAAAAAATACCATAATTTAGATGCTTATTACTATCCTTTTAAACTGACAGTATGTATATTGGTATTGTACCTTTGTTTGATTAATTAAACCTTGCCCATAAAGGGTATGTACAGACATTCATGGACGTTAGATGGAATGAATGGCCACCTGATCTAGGGTAAGTTGGGATGTGGGGGGCCAGTGGTGGGGCTTGTGGCAAATTGGGGGTGAAAGCAGTGTGCTGGAGGGTGGGCAAACAGGATCCACAGGAGGTTTGGTGGAGTCTTGGAGGATTTGGTGGGATTAGCGGGGCAAGTGGGGTCTGTGGGAGGGCTTGCGGGGGATCGGGGGATAAGCAATGTCTGTGGAGGGGGGTTGTGGGGATCAGGAGGCATGGACCCCAGCTAGGTTGCTGGGTTCCATGAGGCTTTGACAGGATCAGGGGGGCTAACAAAGTCTATGGGCAAGCTTGGGAGGTTTGGCAGGAATAGAGAGGCTCTCCTCACCAGCCCTCCCCCTCCCCCCCCAATGTTGCCAAACTGCTCCTGGTCTCTCAAACCACTCAAACCGGTTTTACTGATATTCCTGGGAGCCTGATTGAAGTAAGCTGGGGTGGGGGGAGGTGCAGACAGATCTGGGGGAGGGGGCTGGTGGTTGTCCGGATGGGGGGGTTCTTTCTCCTTCCCTGGACCAGGGCCTATTTTTAGCCCCCTGAATCCCCCCACCCCCAGATGAACAGCCTCGCTTCACCTGGCAAACCAACCCGTCTGCTCCTGCCTGTTGTTTGTCTCAACCTGACTTATTTCCTTCCTTGGCTCCCAGCACTGGTGAATGCCAGAAAGGCTGGCACTGGGAATGGCTTATGGGATGAGGGTTTTGGTGGGCTCAGGGGGAGGGACTATCTGGACTGTGGGGGGTGTCTGTCTGGGAGTGAGGTGAGGGGCCAGGGGCTAAAAATAGCCCAATGCTGGTGGGGGTAGGAAAAGTGTAGCCCCGGCTTTCCAAGTCCTGGATCTGCGCTGGGAACTGTACAGAAATTCAATTAAATCAGTCTCTCTGGACCTGACCTAAGTTTGACTACCTCCGAGGTATGGTTAACTAAGATTGGGTTGGTCAATTTTAGACCAATCAAACCTTTCAGTATAGTTTGCACTTAGATTGGCCTAACTAGGAATCTAACTGTAAAGTCTGCACCTGGGCTAAGTTATATCGACTAACCATTTTTAACACAAACTAACTTCCCTCCTAACCTCCTCGAATGTCTGTGTATACCCTGGTTGCTTCATTGCCATATAACTGAGTACTTAGCCTCTAAAAACTTCAAACGGGAAATCTTGAATACTTAAATCACCAATAAAAGAACTGAGAAATCTGCTCATAGATAAGACCTCATACATACAGGTGGTCAGATTTCTTCCACTCAAAGCTATGATTCTGTTTATTTGGCAAATACAGAAGTTGCCAGTGTAGGTGGTTGCAAAAAAACTCACAGGGTAGCAAAAAATTAACCCCCCCTGCAAACCAAACACTTTTTTAAAACTAAACTTAGTGTGTTAAAATCAGATATACAGTAATTTGTAAATATGTTTCAGAAAAATAAGTATAAAAGTAATGGTGCTTTTGAAATATCAAAGAATATCTAGCATAACAAAGACTAATTTTAAAATAATGCTTGTTATCGCATTTGTTCAATGAAGCCTCAACCAAGTTAGAGACTCATCGTGCTAGGTTCTTTACCAATGCGTATTGGTTCATGTCTTCAGGATGTGTAAGCTGATATATTTAGTAAACCTTCTCTGTTTTACACCAGCTGGGGGTCTGGCCCACTTGAAATAATGGACTTTTTATGGTCAAGTTCAGTTGTGAACAGTGAAGCTGTTCTTAGAAACAATAAGTTCAATGGTTTATGAAAGAGATTGAATGCTGTGATATCAAAATGTATATAGCATGCCAATGTAGAGCTCTTCATGAGAAATGAGATGTAGATTTAACTAAGTAAAAAATCTTGGGCCTACATTTTCAAACTTGGATGCCTAACATTAGGGCCACTATTCCACATTTAGATAGTTCTTTAAGATCAGGTACAGACATTACACTTTTACTGGTATACGTGATTAGAAACCTATTTATAGCTGTAACACAACAAAAGTTCGGCACACACAGAATGGTTTAGAAATGGCAGAACCCAATTTGAGATTTGCCCTTCCCCCCCACCAAAGGGCGAATGTGTGGGTTTTTTTGCTACTGATCTAAACTGTGCTGCTTACAGAAAACCGCATAACTTAGATTGATCCCACCTCAGGCTTTCTTGAATGTCTGTACCTAGCCTAAGCAATCTGAGAGTACCTTCTTTTGACTTTAATAATAGTTGTAGGTGCTCTATACCTTTGAAAATCAGGCCTTCTTTATTTAGTCATCTAACTATACGTTAGCTAGCAAAGTTTAAAAATTTTGTATTTATATGTATTATTGAGTGATTATTTGATAAACCTTTTTCAGATAAATTGCAGAAACTACATTGTGAAACAGTCACATGTTATCACTTCAGTTAATAAAGTGGCATTGCCTGAAGACCATTCAGATCCTGAGGTGAAAATTATTTATGCAGGTTAGATATAGATTCCATCACGATTGAATCCTTGCTTTCTCTAAACTCTTACTTTGCTTCTTATTAATTTTTTTACTTGGCCTTGATGGGCTAGATTCTAGTCCACCTATTAGGTGTGTAAATGGACTTAGACACCCAAGTGTGATTCTATTCCACCCTATGCAAGTCCCTGAAAAACCAGTTAATGAAAAAGGTGGGTGGGTTCCCTACCTCTTCAGTGCTTTTTTCTGACTCAGTTTAAGGTTAAGAAGGTGGTATGTTCCACATTGGTTGTGATGTTATTAAGAGTCTTTTCAGTCTATTTAAAGTGGACCAGGATAGGAAAGAAAAGCAGTTGTTATCTGCATATTTGGTAGCATGACAGTATGTGTTGTGAGTATGATGGTGTTGGTTCAGTTTCCTGCAGAAAAGTTTGCGTAGAACAAAAACCTCTCCAAGAGTTGAGACTAAGAAGCACTCTTGTTGGCAGTCGCAACAGAAAAAAAACCCAAAGTGAAAATAACCTCTCTTACCCATGGATCAGAATTAAGGCAGTTTGGTGAAATAGGTAGCGGAGGCTTGTAATTTTTGGCAGTTGATTGTGAAAGAAAAAGACAACAGATTTTTTTCACTTGACATATGTGGTAGGGTGTACGTGAAATTCAGCCAGTTGGGTAAAATCACTAACAGAAGATAATGTTAAGTATACAGTAAAGAATGTCTGTCTGCTCTCAGATCTGTAGCTCAATTCTAAGAAATAACTGAGCCATCTTAGTTGAGAGCATTATTTCCCCAAATATTTAGCTGGAGGTGTATTTCCAGAATGGTATATTTCATCTCAGATGGTCATATTTTACCAGTTATAAGCAACTGAAAACAAAGTCTTATAATGGCAAATGTAAGGGAATCTTAACTTAGTGCCACCTGTAAGTTAAAAAAAAAATGTTTAAGTTCAGAAGCACTGCTTCCAAGTGCTTAAAAGTACAGTTGCTTTAGATTTGTGTTCATAAGCTAACAAAATTATCATATTACATTATATTCTTAGATAGGAACTAAAGCATGTTGTAAAATTGTTCATAACTATTACTTACTTTTTAGGTAACAGTCAAGCAAAAGCCCTTGTTTGTGTTCCTCTTGATGTCAAAGACGCCTTGAAATGTTTTAGAGAAACCCTAGAAAAATCTAAATACCACAGCAGAGCACTTAGACACAGCAGAAAATTGCTCTCGTTATTTCTTGCACACACACAAGGTAAGGTAAATTCTTACATTGCCTTTATTTGCAACAACTGAATGTTTATGACTCCAGGTGACCTCTGTAATAAGTAACTTCTTGTATTACCTATTGATAGTACTAAATAGTGAGAAGAATCCATTTTAAAATCCAGTTACAATTGCTGGTGAGCTTAAGATAATAGTCATTTAAGTTATTTAAGAAAAATTCTAAATAATTGCAAAGCCAAAATTTAATTTAGCTTTTTTTCCCCCTCTGTATCTTATCAGTTCTATTCTCATAGATATGTGTTGCTCCTTATTGACCTAAGCACTCTGGCTGCAAAGCTGGGTCATTCATGTTCAGAGGAGTGTAACAGGACCAGGCTCCTGGGGTGATAGTGCTACCTCTTGGTTGGCCACCTGGCTACTGGTTTGTTCTGGCTCCCTGGGAACTCTCCCCTTTTCCTCCCTCCTGCCATGCCTTGATGTAATTGGTTGATGAGTAATAGAGAAGCTGCCCTTGGGTTCCAAATTAAGCCTCCATTTGTCTTTCAGGCAAGCAGGTCTCTCCCAGAGCCTGCTGGTCCCAATCCTGTCTCTCAAGTGTTAAGTAAGCCCTCTTGGCCCATCTGTGCCCAAGGGCACCTGCAGCCTTAAGACTATGTGTGGTCTTCAACTTCTCCTACAGCTAGATCCATGCCTTACTGGTCTTAGCTATTAATCATTTCAGTGGGCACTTGGCCCCAGCCCAATATCAGGCCTCCTAAGGCCTCAGTGCCCTTGTTGGGGCCTCAGCCTTCTTGGCCTCCTCCCCTTTCCTCTGGCTGGGCCCTTTAGCTTAGACCCATGGTATTGGATCTGGCTTTTGAGCTCTAGCCTTTGCCTTGCCCTCTTGGGCTGTGGGGCCCTGACCCTAGTCTCTGCCCCTCTTGGGCTGTGTGCCTCTGGCCTTCTTGGCCTCAGGTCACCTCTCCTGTTTCTCTCACCTAGGCTTTGGCCCTCTTGGCCTCTGCCTGCCTGTCTTGAGCCTGTCAAAACACCCTCCTACCCCTTGGGCATCCTGCAGTTTGGGCCCCTGCCCCTGGCAGGCTCAAGCTCTCCTGTGCCGTCTGGCACTATTTGATCTTCTCTTTCCCAATAGTCACAAGGGTACACCAATAAAGCTCAAATGAAAACATAAGCACACTGACTGTAGCAAACTCTTAATCCACTGGATGTACAACAAAATCCTATTCATCCTGGATCCTAGTCCCCTGCAAGCTCTCAGTTCTTTCCTTGCAGTTCCCAGGTAAAGCAGGATCTCTGTTAGTCACCCTGCTACAGCCATCTCGCTGCAGAGTTCTTCGCCCTGAAGTCTACAGGGCCAGACTGACTGGCTGGTCTCAGGTACTGGCTTTGTGTGCCTCCTAAGCCCTGCCCCTTCTGATCAGGTGACTCTGCAGCCACACAGAGGGGTTTCTATTCTGGGTCTAATGACCACCCTGCCTCCCCTTGCTGCTGCTTAGCTGAGCTGTTTGCAGCTCTTGACCCCTGAGCAGCCCAGATGTCTGCCTCCAATGTATCTTAATGTTGGAAGCTGACTAGAAGTTTGTCTGTTTACTATCAGTGAGCCTGCTTTCTGGCTCCCTGTTACAAAGAAATACTGTCTGTGTCTACACCAGTGGTGGACTGTGCAGTCATTTAGTACTTGCATAACCCAGTACTAAATGACTGCGCGGTAACTCTTGTTATTGCGCAGAAGCATCCCTGCATGTGGGTTTTTTTTTTCCAACACTACTGCGCAGTAGCATCTCATCACAGATAGGGCCCCCCATTGCTACTGTGCAGTAACTTCTCATGTAGACACAGCCACGGAATATATAAGCAAGTATTTCTGTGATAGAGTCCTGTTCATTTATGGAGACTATGCCCAAAGTCCACAGTAGAAACAAACAACCTCAAACATTTTTATTACTTAGAAATCTAACAAATTTCTAGCATATACTGTACTGCAAAAAAAGCTCTGTCTCTCAGCTTTTACTCAGAGCCATACATACAACTACTTCTCTTGTTTTTTGCTGACTTCATGCTCAACTCGTATACAGACATATGCACCCAGCTACAACCAGTTTCCTTAGTCCTGCATTTTGCAGTCAGTCTCAGGGAAGTCTTTAATTTAATGAATCCTTATATTTCTTTCAGTACTGGTTTTAAGCCATTGTAGAAAAACACAAAAAGAACAAATAGGAAGGAAACAAATTTCCATTTCAAGACATTTCCAAGGGATTACAAACAATAATAAGAGGAAACAGTTCTTTAAAAATGTGGAAAAAATACAGTGGAAGTGTCCGGGGATTGTGAAAAAAACCCAAAGGGAGTTGAGTGCAGAAATCACATTTAACAACACCCTAGTTTCCATCCTAATGTGCACTTAAATGGAATTTTTTTTTCTTTCTCTCTTCCATGAGTAACTAAGGTATGCACATGTTCCTGCAGTATCTGTTAAAGTAAGGATGCTTACATCTTAAAACTGATAACAAGAGCATGCGCAATATATCATTTTCTTTGATTACTTGTCCATATATATTCCATGTTTGGTGTATGTACACTCTGTGCTCTTGAGTTCAGATTCTTTTGGCCAGCAGTATTCATTGGGAGCCATGTCTGTGTCCTAGGTGTCCTTCTGAAAGAACAGGGCCCTGAGATAGAGGAGCTGCAGGCTGATACATAGGTCATACTTACACTTGTTTCTTCTTCTTCAGCTTGATGATTATAAAATGTTTGAAAACTGCTGTTCTGATCAGCAGACATTCTCAGAATCTTAGTGGAAATGGTCCAGGAGAGATCCCAGAATTTTTGAGACATTTTGCATATATCTCTGCCTGGATAGTTAACTACAGTAACAGATATATATTAGAGCTAGCTAAGCCCTTCTGACTGAAAATGGTGCCTCCATTGAAATGGGAAAATTGGTAATAGTGAGTCCTCTCCTTGGGATATAAGCAATTCCATGTGCGTCCTATTTCAGGGTGACTAATACTGACTGCTTTCCATGCAAGAACCAAGCAACAGGCATTGGCTTAGAAATGGCATTTTAAAGGCCTGTTTTGGGGGAATTGGCTTATAGGTATAGATATATGCATTATAAGAGTTCAAGATGGTTAGCAGGGGTTAAATGGATTTCTGAAGAGCTTGGGACATGCACACACTACTTCTCATTGCTCTGAAAGAAGACAGGCTGTCTAGCACAACAAGGCCAATGAATGGACACAGCCTGAGAATGAAGGGGGCATGTCATAACACGAGATCACAGCCGTCAAGGCAGACAAGTTGTCTAACACAACAAGGACACAGCCTAGGAACCAAAGAAGTATGTACCATACTGTCCCATAACACAAGATAAGTGACACCAGCAGCAAAGCCTCGGAGAACAGGGGAGCCTAAGTCCTGGTTTTGGGGAACAGACCAAATTAGGAGAAGGACCAGAAGGATACGTGGACATGTGACCACAGAGAGACAACAAACCAGAGATAGCCACGGATGAATAGTCATCAGGAGTCATCAAGGCAGCAGGAGAATACAAAAACAGAGACTTGAGATTAACAAAGAGTCCCACCCATCCCTCCTTCTCTTCTTCCTGGTCCCTCCCTTTGTTGCATCCCTCCCTGTCCCTCCTTCTCTTCCTTGAGAAAGGTCCCTGTCCCCATCTCCATTCCCCAGGAAGGGTCCCCGAAGCCACCATGGAGCAAGGGCATACCAGCAGCCTGTCTCATGCACCCCACTGGAGGGTGGCTATGGGCCTAAGCATCTCACCTTCAGATTGCTGACACCTAAGAGAAAGAGCCTCAGGGTGGAGCCTGCATCCTGACCAGATGTACTTTGATGACAGCCCTAGGATTGTTAGATATAGAATTGTTTGATTGTTTGTATTGTTGCTTTTCTGTTATTACTCTGTATCAATAAATTCACCTATTATGAACTGGAAGGTGTTGTGGTCAGTCTGAGGGTTGTGCCTGCCCAAAACAAAGGTATAGGTGCTGGGTCCAAATCCAGCGTCAACACAGAGACCACCAAAATTTGTCTCCGCCAGCCTAAGAAACTATGGATTTATTTGGCTGCAAAAACTATTCTTCAGCCACTTTGCAGATGAGATTTATCAGTGACCAGACTTAACAACAGATATGATTATATGGATTGGGACACTGTCGAAATTCATGGACACAATTCCACATGACAACAGGAAGTAATTTAAGTCTTATGTCTCTCTGAGTCAGCCATTTCCATAGCCATGAAGAAGTCCTTTTGATTTAAATGAATGCAGACAATAATTGCAGATCAGCTGTTTGAGGAATGGGATTTGTTTACTGCTAAAACCAATTAAACTGATCAGGAACATTTCAATAATTTTTTTCCATCGCAAATACTGATTTTTGTGTAATAGAATTTCTGAACAGTTTCTGGTCAAACTAGAAAGTGACAGACACTCCACAAACACTTCTGTGGAATATAAGATAACATCTATAGCTTATATTGGTGAAGAAATTGAGGGTCTGTTGGGGTCACCGCACCCTAAATGTCTTCATTTGAAACATAGTGGCACGGAGAAAGAGCTATAGCTCCCAAACAACACTGCTAGCCAAAGGAATCTGCATTTGTGCATGCATGCACCAAATGTGAATGCATATGACAGCATGTCTTGAAGAACGGCAGCTTTTCAACATTACGTAACCATTTTTCTCTTCCTGGGACTATAGAACATCAACTTTGGAATGAGGCCAACTCCCATCACTATGTACATTACAATGAGATGACAATTTCACATCTGCGGTAGACCTCTGGATTAGCGCTGTGTTCATTTGCTAACTTCTTGTTTCAGGAAAATTTTCTCTTTGAACGGAATATGTGGCAAATCCTAATACTATTAAAACTTACTTGGTGTGCATGTAGACTAAATCCAGCATAACAGCAGTCCTCAGTTTATTTAGAGCTAATTAATAATATATTGCAGAAAGAGATTTTTTGGGACAGTGGGGGGGTTAAAGGACATTTCCTGCTGTTGTGTTTATTCACTTCTAATTTCAGGCTGCCATTCCAACTGTTCTTTTAACCTGCTTATATAAAAACAAGAAAAAGTACATATCATGCTTTGGAAACATTGTTTGATTGGCTGATGCGGTGCAAAAACATTTGTGTGTGGCAAACTATATTCAGTATATAAATTTCTTTTTTGACCTAGATCCCCTTGGCAGACTACCCAGTCAGAGCTTTTCAAATAGAAAAGTGGGATTTGGTGAGGGAGCTGAACTAACATTTCTACCAACCCCACCTGACCTTTCTCAAGAAATTTTTAATTTTCCCAGCATGCTTGAAAGCAGGCCGTTACCACAGTCACAACTCCCAATAGTTATCTCCTCATATGAAAAGACAGTCGGTAAGACATTTATATAATTTTTTATTATAGCTAACACAAACAGCCTCCACCAGTCTTCAGAGCTGTAGACCAGAGAGCTGTGTCCATATCTTTTTTCATACCTTTTTATTCTCTTTCCCATGTCAGATGGTCTTCTCAGAGGGTGTTCTTCATCTACATCTCTGTGTCTTCCTCTCATTCCCCCTAAAGAAAATAATTTCCTAAGTATTGTCCAAAATAAATTTACTGATTTATACCCATTGAGATTCAGCCCATGCTTTTTCCACACTGATATCCTTTTAATTTTTTGTTAGTCTTTCCCAGGAAGCCATCTGACTTAAAATTCTCAGAGCCCATAGAAACTTCTGTATTCAGCCAGTAGGAACTAGATAGAAAATTGCATTTGTAGTGAAAATGCTGTATTTACCAGAATGCAAGGTGAGTTCTAATTTAAGATGAACTCCCTAATAATTAGATTCTCTACATCAAAAATTATAACTTTGTTAGTTTTCCATGTAGAGAATCTAATTATTGGAGAATCTTCCTTTATTCATCCCCACTACTACTGTAGCAGGGAAAGCAGTGGTGGTGGGTAAGGGACCCCTGCTTTTTGCTCCCCAACCATGCCATCTCCCCTGCATATCCCACCCCAGCATGGTGTCCTGTGTGCACTCCCCCTCTAAACGCACAGTATCCCCTGTACACACCCTCACCACTCCCCCTCCCCTTGTGCTCCCCTCGCTACAAGCCCTCTCCTGTGCTGAATGAGCCACTCCAGCCTGGGCCAGGCAATGACATAGCTCTGCCTTTGGTCCCAGGCTCGGGGGCCTCAGTGGGAGCTGAGTCACTGCCTGTCCCAGGCTGGTACTCAAATCTAAAACAAAGTTTTTTTTCTCCCCCATGTTGGGGGCAGGGGGAACTCCTCTTGTATTTGAGTAAATATGGTACTTATTTTCAAGAGAGCCCTATCTGTTTAGAAGATCTGTAACAGGTTTGTCCAAATGACATGCTCTTTTTTCATTTGGAATTATTGGAAACAAAATAGGAACCAAAGTCACACTTTCGAAGTTAAAATCTCTCCAATCCTGATTCACTTTTAACAAAATTATTCCAATATTGTTCTGCCATATCCTCTCCGTGTGACATTCTTTCTCTTACCTTGACCATGTTTCCTGATAATTAATGGTCACCAGGTCTAATATAAGTAAACTTCTGAAGTAAAGTTAATTGTTTAAAAGTGTAATTGTTTTAAGATTATAACAGATTTTTTTTCTAATTGTTTCTATAAAACAGAAGTCCTCCAAATAAATAATCAGCGAGACCTCAAGGTGCAGGCTCTACATGAACTTGGAAATCTTCACGTTTATGCTGGAAACAAGAAGTACTTATTCACTGGATAAATAGCAGATATGAAAATGGAGTGGCTTTGTTTTTATTTTTTGTGCTCTGTTTTTATCTGCAATTCCTTTATAAGTTCTGCTGTGTTAATTCCCACTGTTTCATTCATCTTATTTCTTTCTTATTTATATTTTTAATTCTTTTTTTAAACAGTATATATACCTCTACTATCTAATTGCAAAATCAATCATGCTTACTTTTTGTTAGGAAGCAACACTTACCACAGCCCTATTTAACCTCAGGAGTATGTATTTCTGTGGTTTGATCAAAAATGTATTTATTATGTCTTAGAAACTAGATTTCTGACTCAATTAGAATTATTTGTAGCTGATGGAACTAAGGCAAAATAACTGTTCTTATCTTCCACTGTGGAAAATGTCAGCAATATGATGGATGCCTTTTTATGTTACAGAGCTGCTTTTAAATATTGGTGTCAAGCCCTTGATGAAACACTCAACGTAGTTGATGTACTTAACAACTGGCAAAAGTTAGGTGATTTTTCAAAAAATGTTACTGGAGAGTTTACAGATGGAAGTTTTAGAGAGTTAAGCAAGAAATTTATTTCTGAGGCTGGAGTTTGGGGGTGTTTGCATGCAGCAGTTTTATCAGCTAAGATAGCTCAGTAAGTATTTTTATATTTTAACTTATATCTTTAGATGTTAAAACTACACAATAAATCCTCATCCAGGGCTCTGAGTGCCATTGACATAAATTTGAAAACATATTACGGAGGAATTACAAAACAGAATCAGTCAAAGCAGTGACATTCCTTCTCTCATCCAACTATGTCTCCTGATAATTAATGGTCACCAGGTCTAATATCAGTTAAAGTTCCTATCCCTCATGACACTGGTCCTCCCCAGCCCAAAATTAATCTTTTAACTGGTTCAGCCTTCCTACCTGTTCAGTCAGGTGGTTTTGTAGCATATCTAGAAGGTTCAAGATATTTTGGACCTTGGTGGGAGGCATACTCTCTAAAGGAAAGTGTCCCACTAGGGGAATGCTTTATTGGTAGCCTCCTCTCTGAAGCATCTCCTTCTGATCTTAACTGCTTCTGTATGGTATGTGGAGAAGCTATAGACATATCATAAACAAATGACAAGCTGCAGGTTGAATAAATTTGCATCCATATTAATTTTCAATAGATATCTCAAAATTCTCTAGTTTTTCCTATGTGAACTATGACCTTATCTTTGGGGGCAGAATCAGTGGATAAAATGCTTGCTTTTCTTATTATTCATAGATCAAATAAAATTTGAACTGAAGTATGAAATACTGTAAATATTTCAGTCCAGTTACCTACATTTGCAAGGCATTAAAAGACAATGATTCTTTACTCTGCCCCTAGGGACATTTATAGACTCCCAGGTATCCCCCTCTCTTGACTGCCCAGTGGACCACCTGCAAGAGGAAGGCTAGAAAAGTGTTTGGGTAATGCCAAACCTGTAGGTGGGGAAGCAGCTGGCTGGCTACATTTTGTAGACATGTGTGCTTTACTTGCATACTCAAATGCTACAAGCTTGCTCAGCAAGAGTGCAGCTCTGCTGAGTATGCTAAAACTCAGGACTGAAACATAAACTGCATGCATGGGCCAAGAACTGCAGTTATGGGTCTATGTAGTTGGCATTGAGGCACATAAAGTGAAATAGGATTTAGTTCTTACTTGTAACCGCCTAGACCAGCAATGTAGCTGAATCTATATAATACCCAGGGTGGGATAATTGACACTGCCAAGAGTTAGTGCCAAATGCAGCATAGATTTGCCCATTCAGTCTGGGTTGTATTGTTCACAAAAACTATGTGGTGTGCACTTCTGGGTACAAACCTGCAGTATAGGTTTAGCCTAAAAAGGTGCTTTGCAGAACTAGCAGGCCAGGGGGAAAAAGGCTATGTGGTTTAAGGTGGCTTTAAACCATCTTTGTGCCTTTCCAATCTGGCCTTCCTTTTCAGTCCCAGATATAATATAGTCAGCAGTCTGTCCCAGTGGAATGTATGTAGCACTGTGTTCTGGCACCCTATCCCTAAATCAGCCTGCATACCTCATGCTAGAAGTTTTGAGGGAGCCTTACAGCTGCCTTTCTGTGTGTATACTGGGGGATCTCTCCACAGCTTCTAGGTCCCCTTTATACTGCTCTGGCCCTTTTACTCAGAATAATGGGGTAGAGTCATGGGGAGGGTCCCTCTGCATAAGATGCAGAAGATTAAAGCATCTTTCACATACTGTGCATAGAATAGTGAACTACTGCTGTGTTTTTAATCTTTTGTGAAGTACATAGCTATGTATGTAGACTATATAGCCACATACCTGTTTCTGTTTCTATTTATCTTTTTTCTGACAGCTATTATAGCACCTTTATTACCATATTACCTAAGTGCCCTCCAGTAGTGCAGTAAATGATGTGCCTAATTATTTTCAGATCTGAAGAGCTACTAGAGATACTGCTATGATAATAGTGGGAAACACTTGTTAATTAAATTAAATTAGTGGGTACATTCAGATTTCTTATTTATTTGTTGTACTTACTCAGGTACATGTTGCCATCAAATTTGAGAATGAGAACAAAATGCTGCATTTTCTCTGCTTTACTCTTTAAGGTAAAGATATGTTTTTGTTTCCAAGATGCATAGGTTGTTACATAGTATACTATTTTCAAGATTCAAAGCTCAGCAAATAGCCTACAATGTAAAAATATTCTTGTGTAAAATTATGAAGGGGGGCTTTAGGGTTGAGACTGGAAGCAGATAGTAGTTTACATGTATTAAGTTGTATTCATTATTTGTTTTATAAATAGCATTCATGTGTTTTAGTCCTAAAAATTAACATTTCAAGAAGAGGTTGGTCTCCCAGGGAAGTAATGAAATGTTGAAAAGTGAAGATAAAATACTTGCTAGTCAAATGTATTTTATCTAAAATATTTGCCAGTCAAATGGATTTTTTTTCACTTGAAATGTTCTGCTCAGGAAGAACTTATGCCATCAATCTCAGCAGGGTGCCCCTTGTCACAGTCTTCATAGATTGCCATAAATTTTTAAGTAGAAGCACAGAAAGTTTTAAAAAAATAATTGCAGAATGTTTTTTTTCTGGTGGTATAAAATACTGTCCGTCAGTGCTAAAATTTCAACTTTATTAGAAGTTTCTCTTAAAGGACACAGGAATATTCAAAATGATTCAGATTTTATTCACAAAGAAAATAGCCTTAAATTAAGCTTGCAAGCCTTTGGAGATAAAACCAGGAGAAATAGTGTCTCTATTTACTTAAGGAATGGAGATTTGAATCATCACTAACAAAAGCGATCTTTAAAGAAGAATCTCACTTATGCTGTCAACTGGACTCCACAGGGGTTTATGCTAATGCAGCCCAATGCAGCCTCAAGAACCTTGCTTACTTCAAAGCAAAAAAAAGAAAAGAAAATTTGCAGCATTATTTTAATGACCTAAAGCCCAGATTCTATAACTTGATCCACATAGGTAGGCCCCATGCACAACCCTGTTAACAAACATCAGCAAAAGTAGAAACCAGTTCCTAACATTTAAATGAATGAGACTTCCTTGTAGTTATTAGCACCTGTGATGGAAAGCTTAACACATGATTCCATCTGTCAGAAAGCAATAACAGTAATCAGTTTATTACAGTATTATAATGTAAATCATTGTGTATGGCTGAGATGCAGCCTTTCTAGTTGGGATGGATGCTGCTTGTTGGAAGTGTGTTGCAAAGTATAATCAGTGCATTGTCACTGTAGCTGACCAGGTAAAAAGCTCATAATTACTCTCTTGGTTTGGGAGATTATTTTATAACCTTATTTTACATCTTCTTTCTTATTCTTTACCCTAATGATTGTCCCAGTTTTATATGAACTATTTTGTGTACCTCAGTAGTGAGTAAATGGATGTGTAGATGGACATTTTCTAGCCTAATTATGGCATCATAAACACTTCAGAAGGGATTTGTCATAAACAATACTATTTTGCAGTTCAATCCATGGCAGCAAAGATGTTGACAAACAGGATGTAGGTCATCACCAAGGGTTCAGGTTCTCGCCATGGAAAAGAAGCAGATTTTCTCCTTTCAAGGAGAAAAACATTGGAAACTGTGGGTTTTCCCTTGCTTGGGGTTGGGGGGAGTGGGAGGAGGCCAGTTGGATTCAGGGGATGCCACATGCATGTGTGAGTTTGCACACATGCATGTGGCCAACAATATAGCCAGGCAGCATCATGGAGAGCAGCTCCCCCAGCTACCTGTAGGTAAGTCTATGGAAGGGGCATAGGCAGTGCATGATGGGGTGGGGGGCATAGGCAACATGTGGGAGGAGGGGGGACAAATTGAGGCAGTGGTGGCAGCTCATGTTGAGCCCCTACAGTAAGGGAAGGAATGGAGCCAGGGTTGGTGCCTGGGGCTGAGACTGGGAGCTCTGCCCAGCTGGGGCAGTGCGAAGTGACCAGGGCCGGCGTGGGAATGCACAGCTGTGGGGCCCAGCCAGGGAGCAGGATGGAGCCATGAGCGGCTCATCTGGGAGGCAGGCTGGTGTGGGGGTTGGCTCCCTACCACTGTGCACAGTCCTGGGGAAGGGTCAGGTGCCAGAGACGATGCATCAGAGGGCTGTGGGGGGCACATGACCCCCAAGATTTGTGTGCCCACACCGTGACATGGGGCTGCAGCCTGGCCGGATCAGCACTGGGCAGGAGCTGCCTTTGTGGCCCAGTGGGCAGAACCCAGTGTGGGAGGACAGAGCAAGGTGGTGAGATTCATTGCTGCCACCACCAGGACTCCCACACCAGCTGCACTGCCAGCAACGCAGAGTAATGGAGCTGGAAGCTGTGCTGCCCTCACCTCCTCCCACCGCGGAGCGGCTTGCATGCTGGGCTGTTGCTGTGCCCTGCTGCCATGGCCTGCTGCCATGGCCACTGCTGCTGCTCCCCTCAAGCTACTCATGCTGTCCCCCACACCTCCCTTCCGGGGTAGAGCTGCACCCCAGCATGCAAGTGGCTGGCAGCAGGAGAAAGTGAGGGCAGCATGCCCTCTCAGTCTATTACTCCTTATGATGGTGGTGGTGCAGCTGGTGCAGGGGTCCCAGCGGTAGTGGTGGCAGCAGTAATGAGTCTCACAGCCCTGCTCTGTCCTCCCCTGCCAGGTTCTGACTGCTGAGCTGCAGAGGTGGCTCCTTCTCAGTGCAGGTCCAGCCAGGCTGAAGCCCTGTGCCTCAGTGTGGGTGTCCAAATCAGGTAGGGTACATGCTCCCCCATGCCCTCCGATGCATCACCTATGGTGTTGCCTGTGGCCTGGCACCCACTCTGCCCCATACTGCCCCTGCCCTACACATCCGTGCTCTGCTCCACGCACCTACCCCCTTCCCCACACATTGGGGGATGGGGTCTAGGGGTGGGGGGCAGAGGGGTGGGAGTGAGGGCCACCAGCAGGGCTGTGGGAGGTGGAGAGGTGGGTAGCTGTGGGTCAGGAGTGAGGAGCACTGGCGGGGATGAAGGTCTGCTGGTTGGGAGTAAGGGGCACCAGCAAGGCCAGGGGGTTGCAGGTCAGGAGTGAGGGGCAGCAGCAGGGCTGGGGGGCTGTGGGTTGGAAGCAAGGGGCACTGGCATATCGGGGCTACTCAGCACCACAGAGTAGGGGGGCACCTGCAACTGGACCTGCATCCTGGTGAGTGAAGGGGGCAGGGAGAATTCTAATTTTCTATGATAAAAAAAAAAAATTCCAAATGCCAAAATATATAGGTATTTAGAATTTATTTTATCATTATGCTTGAAGCGCTGGTAGACTTTCGCATTGCTTTAAAATTGTAAATATATCAATAAAACACTGTGTTGAACTGATACCTATACATACATACATATATGTATACATACTCAATGGATATATAAAATGGCGTTTCATTTTAATCATGGAAAAACATGGATTTGGGGTTTTAAACTTATAGAATTTGGGAGCGGGGGGGATCAGAGAATTTTGGATTTTTAAATGGAGAAAACCAAAATTCCTGGTAATCACTATTCATGATTTTCTCATTGTGTAGGTCTCTGTCCTCAGCTTGCCCAGTTTGATGCTTCCTTAAGCAGTTCACAGGAAGTCCATTTTCTTGACCTTGCTTAGCAGGTTTAATTCTCCTAAGTAGAACAGAGTTTGAAGAAAAAAAAGGAACAGAGGGCTGGGGGAAATTCATCAATTGCATCTCTTAACTGATATCTGGATGGTTGATTTTGTTTTTTGGGGGTGGGGGTGACTTCTCTCCATCTATGTGTGTGTTTAAAAGATAACTGAAAATACCAATCTCTGTTCCAGTACCATGCAAAAGTATTTTTGTACAAATCTGCTCAGAGGCAGTATAGGTTATCAGAAAGTTGTGGATGAGAAAACATAATTAAAGAATAGGCAAATCTTAGATTATGATGAGTCATCCTGCTTGTCAGAGCAAGCGATGGGGGAGAATACCACTTCCATGGTTTCTTGACCAAGCAAAACAGATTAGCATTAAGTATGAATATAATTTTGTTTGCTTAATGTCTAGACAAACAGATACTTTGTGGGTTCTTTTTTCAGATTTAAATTTGCTTCTCTTCTTTCCACTATGATTTCTGATGCTCCCCACTATTTCTTTGACACTAGACATCTTCCCTTATCAAGGTTCTGATTTATAAACATTCATAATTCCTGTAAGACTTTGCAAGGTCTTGTTTAGAACCAGCTATAACAATAGACATTGACTGAATTTTGGGGGTTGTTCATTCCTTTCTTGTGTTTCATGACTGGATGTATATTTAAAAAAATACTTCATTTTTATTATTTTCAGACCCTGTTCAATGCATCACTTCCACATCCGACAGCTGACTGCAACTTTGCACAGTATGAAATAAACAAACTTATCCCTGGCGTTGACTTGTTCTCTGATCGCTATAGAGCTGATGTACCCAGTGTAGTTGCAAGTCTGTACTTTCTTATGTTTGAATTGCATTGCTCAAAGCAAAATCTAATGGTGAGTACCACTAAAAATGTACAAGAATGAATTGCAAGCCATCATGTTCAATGTAAAATTGTTATGAAGGATCAACTTGATCCTTCAAGCAGGTGTACTTTCCTCTAGCAGAGCAAACACTGCTAAGCTTAAGAGGACAATTTCAGGGAAATCTTGAATTCTGCTACTGGGTTAAAGCAGGGGTGTCGAACATATGGCCCCTGGGCTGGATCTGGCCTACAGAGCTGTTCCATCCAGTCCCCCTGGGCTATTGGCAGACTAGGGAATACGGGAATGGGATTAGCAGGGGGCGGAGCCCACTGTAGAATCCGGGGCCCAGTGCCCCTTTGGACATGGTTGTTGCCAACAGAAGGGGACAGCAAGGGCCATGTTGACAAAATCTAATTGCCCTACTGCTACCTAGCCTTATGGCCACTTTCTCTGCCTGCCACAGTCACTCATCCAGCTTCATTGGTGAGAGTGCAGCTGCACAGCCACTGGTAGGTCCTCCCATAGCTGTTTTTTGCCCCACAGATCTGGCTCACAGGGAGCCTTGTTGCCTCAATTCTCTCAGGGCACAGGGTGAGCTTGACACCCCTGGGTTAGATGGAAGAGAGTGCTCTAGGAATTGAAGGATTACCACATTTACTCAAATTTAAGATGACCCCCCCAGTAATTAGATTCTATATATGGAAAAATTATAAATTATTAAGGGGTTCTCTTTAATTCATCCCCTCCACTGCTGCAGCTGAATGACCAGCTGTGCATCATATGTTTGTTTTTGTGTAATGCACAGTTTTGCAGTCCTGTATCTCTGTACTTGCATGCTTTTTGGCATTTATGACTTGACCTATAATTTTTCTCCAGGTTTTGCCATTGTTCACGTTGTATCAATACTTTGTTTCCGAAATTTGTCGGGACCCAGTTAAATGTATTGAAGGAAGAATCCTCAAGGTAATCAAACAGACTTTCTGGCTAATGCATTATATTTTGAATAACCCTTTTATATAACTTTATTGTTAAATTAATTTGATTTAACTTTGCTCAGTATGTCTCATGGTGCTATGAACTGGAAAAGAAAACCTTATAGTTGAGCTGTTGTCCATTATTACTTATCTCTATATGCATCTTGTTGGAGCTAGAGTACTTTATGAGTGTAATTGTTATTCATTGTTATTATTTATTATATCTATTTTATGCACCATTGTTAAGAACACCCTTGTACCAGACTGTATACCTTGAGGGGCTTCAGCTCAGTTGGAAGCAGGCAGAGGGTGATTACAAGCCTGCCTGTATAGAGTGGGTCAGCTGACAGTGATGATTTTTAAAAAGGAGTTAAAAAGCTGCTAGGGAGAGACCAGAGAGCAAGAGAGGAAGGCTGCAGGGCTGGAGGCAGAAGTCCAAACCAGAGTACTATCCCTGCATCAGACAGTGCATACAGCTAGGAGGAGAAATCAGGAGGGCTGGCTCCTGGACAAGCCCCAAGCACCATGCCAGGGTTGCCTTTCTTCAGGGGGTTACAGAAAGGACCATGAAGAAAGCTGGGAGATCATGAGTTTGCTGGTGGGAATTGAGAAAGAAAGGGAAGCCTGGGCTCTCTCTCTGGGTCTGGAAAAAGACCCAGGGTTATTTGTATATTTGTTTTGCTGACTCTTTACATTGATTCCTGTGGGTAGAGAGTTTGTCCCAGGGAAACAAAGACTGTAAACAAAGAATGAATAAGCAATTCCCCAGCTGGCTAACACCCTCTTAAAAATATGAATATAACATTTTCCCTTCTGCTCTCAGCTTCCTCTTTGACAAAAATTGTGTTACTCCTCTCTTGTTCTTTTTAACATTAAAAAAAATATGGCTTATATATGAATATAAATATATGAATGTGAATAGATTTATTCTGTCTTGTTTATGTCCTCATTTATCATCAACACCAGTAATTCCATCAGGTTGACACAGCTTTGGTAATACATTTGTTTGCCATTTCACTAAAATTCCCTTTGTAGTTTTTTTAGTCTTGGAGATGAGTGGATTTTTAAAAACAACTATATTTGTAAGTGAAAGCTAATAGTTGTCGGTCCTGGATGATTCAAGGAAATTGTAATAACAATTAGGGGGATGGGATCAGTAAATTGAAATTGAAATAACAATTGGCTTGACTTGATTTGAACTATCCACCAAAGTTCTAACCAGACCAAATTCGAACTCAGATATTTTTCAGGTTTAGATTAAATTTGTTCATTTTTTTTGTGAAATCCTTAACATTTGGGGTGTAAGGGTGTTGTTACACATTAATTGTAGATGGCTTCTGGAGCTCTTAATCCCTGGATTGTCCACACACTAACACCTAACACTAGTTTTACGCACACTTTAGGTGGCTTAAAATTAAGCCATTCCAGGGCAGGGTTATCTCCAGTCCATGTTACCCAGTTCATGTTCCAGCAATGTGTGGCCACTCTCCACAGATGAGCTGCCCAAGTTGCAGTCCTCCAGCATCCCAGGATGCAGTGTCCCCTCCCCTGTCCTTCTGTTTCATGTAGATAAACTTTCCACCCCCTGAACTATGCTGCCCAGGGAGTGGTTCCAACATCAAGCCAACTCCCTCTCCTGCCTCCAGGGGTATGACCTTCCCACTCTAAAGGGTGCAAGCCTCTGCAAACAGCCTGCAAAGCACATGTCAGCTAGCCAGGCTGGAGGGCATGGACAGGTCCAGGAATCAGGTCTAGGGAGGGATGGGTAGGGGGAAAGGTAGGGGGCTGGATCGGGTCCCCCTGAGGAAAGGGCAGTAGCTCCCCAAAAAAGTGCCTTCCCTCACTGCTCCCACCTTCCCTCCATCCTGGGAAGCACAGTTAGCACCTCCACGCCCTAGTCTCAGATCCCAATTTATTGAAACATGAGACCTTCTTTAGTTTACTTCCTCTTCATTTCTTTTTAAATTATCTTTTTTTACCTCTTTTTATTTTATCCTTCAGTGATGTTCTTCATTTTACCACCCTTCCCTCACCCCTTTTCCTGTCCACCTTCCACTTTATTACTCACCCCAATCCCATTAACTCTTTGTTTTACAGCTTCATGTTCCTGCCCCCCACGCCCCAACCCATCTGTCGCATAGCTCCACCTTGAGCAGGGATAGAAGCCTGTCCTGGCTCACCAGCAATGTAGTGGCAATTTATAGCTGTAGCTCCTTGTTAAGCCCCCGCTTACCAGCCTGTGACCAGGCCTGAACTTTATATCTACCACTGTGCTGGACTATCACTGACCTCTGTTGCTTCCCTGCCATGACTTGATGATTTGATTTTGTTGGGGAGGTTAGATGACTCTTTGGGTGAAGGTCTGTCTGGTAGGGTCACAGTTCTTCTGCAGGGTGTTGGCTCTGGATTTAGGATCCAGATGCCTTGTTCCTAAAATCTATACAGAGATGTAAAGTCCTATCTGGTTTGGGTACGGTTACTAAAGGACTTCACCATGGACTCTTAGAAGGCACTATTATCCCTTTTTCATGCATTTTCTTTAATACTTGTCGTGCACCCCACATAAAAGATGGGGTCTGGTTTCCATTGTTCTCGAATTATAGTTCCTGGGGAAATGTGAATATGGTGCTCTACTCCCCTTGCTTTCCTGGGTTCCTCCCTAAACACATCTTCGAAAGCTTGTAAAAGCTGAACTATTTCCCTTTTCTGTCCATTCTCTAGGCTTTCTTCAACTTTTACTTCCTTCTCTGATGGGCCCTTTTTGTTTTTCTGAGCTATTTCTGGTCCTAGCTCAATATTTTCCTCTTCTGTCTCTGCCCACCAGCCCTCTACTCCCTTCTAGACTTTTAACAAATTTACACGAAAGATTTGTCTTTCTCGCGAATGTCCTGGTCGTAATAATCTACAAGCCCTGCCCTTCTGATTATCTCAAAGGGGCCTTGCCATTTAGTTAACTATTTACTGGCTGAGGTAGGTTACATCACTAGCACCCAGTCACCTACTTGGAATTCACGCTCCTTAGTAGTCCTATCGTAATTATCTTCTTGTTTAGTTGGGCTTCCTGCAAATTCTCCAGAGCTACCTGTCTGGGCCATTGTAGGCATGTTTGCAAGTCCTGACAGTGTGCCCTAGCTTCTGTAGCTTATGAAGGGGGCTGTTCCCAGCTTGCCTTTAAGGCTGTCATCAGTCTCCTTGGTTTGTGACCACAGACCAATTCAAAAGGTGAAAATTTTGTGGTGGCTTGTGCTACATCTCTCAATGCACATAAGAGGCGTAATCCACAAGTCCCATGTACATGGGTCCTTTTGAGCATATCTACAAAGCATTTTTTTAATAATCCCATTTAACCTCTCTATTAATCCGTTTGTTTGCGGATGATAAATAGAGGTCTGCAGTCTTTTAATTCCAAGGACTTTATAAGTGTCCTATAAGATTTTAGCCATGACGTTGGTGCCTGGATTAGTCACCGCTTTCTTAGAAATCCCAGCCCAGGATATCCATTTGAGGAGTTCTTCCCTCATGTGAGTCCCTGTAGCCACATACAACTGCATCAGGGTGTCTAGTGGCACAGTCAATTATGATGAGGATATATTGGTATCCTGTCCTGCTTTTTGGTAATGGTCCCACAATATAAAAACCTCTTTTGAGAGTATAGCTATGGATGAGGGGCGTAGATTGCAAAGGTGCCCTAGGTGGCCTGGCATCACTAGCTAGTTGGCAGTCCCTGCATGAGGTGCATTGTTTAGCTATCTCCTCATATAAACCTGGCAAAAAAAACCCAACAGGATATACATGCTATTGTTTTATCATTACTCATATGCTGCTCCTACCACCATGGGAATTATGTGGGCCATCTTCCACACAGCCTCCCTAAATACTTTAGGAACCTTCAATTGCTGTGGTTCTATTTCCTCCCCTTGCTTTTTCTTTACCCGATAAAGCAACCATTTCTCACCTTGTAATAAGGTTCTCTTTGGCATCTTTTTGAGTCTTGCTTCCTCCCTGTCTATCTTGGCCACTTCCTTACTCATAATCTGTTGGAATTCTTCCTCCTTAGACTGGGCTTCCTGAAACTGGGCCCTGCTTGCCACTTCTTTGAAGTTCACATCCCCTTCTTCAGATGATTTTATCTCTTCTTCCTCTAACCAGCCTTCTTCCTCCGGTCTTTCATTTCACTGTCTTACTTTTCATTTTACTCTCATGTACTGGATCCCAATTCCATCCTATAGTCATGTCACAAACTAGTCAGGGGTTACCCCTACTCTGAAATCCTAATATATTTATGGGGAGTATATATTGTCGATATTCTTGTGATTCCCCATGTGTGCATTTCACCTTCACCGGCCATACCCTCTGGAGTAAATGATGTGGGAGCAGATTGGCTCAAAGCATGGTTTGAGCGCATCCTCTGTCTGGTGTGGCCTTTATAGGTTTTCCTCCCACTAACACTGCAACCACCAGTTTTTCCCATTTTGCTATTTCTTCACAGGCCCCATAGCTACAATCCATGGCCTCTTTCTCCTCAAACTCTCTATTATGGTTGCGGGGTTCTTTATGTAGGTTGTTAGACCTTCCTTTTATAGTATTCCCATATCCACAATCTCTGGATACGTGTCCACTCTGTCTCCATCTATAGTATGTGACTTCTTTGGATATCCCTTTACTAGGCTCCTGTTTCCTTCCCTTGTTCCAATTTAAGGAGTTCCCATAGTTGTTAAAATCCTTTCCCTAGTAGACTCATTTTCAGAAAATGCAAAGGCTTCTGCCAATTTCAAAGCTTCCTTGCAGTTTTGCAGGAGGTGTCTCCTCACCCAGTTCTGGGTATTTTCCTCCAGATCTTTTAAAAGCTGTTCTAATACATTCTGATATGCTACCTTCTCTCTATCATAGATCTCCGGGTTAAGCCATTTATTCATTAAGTCTCTAAGTAATTGTAAAAGTATTCTGGGCCTTTTATCTTCCTTCTGTTTTCTTGATCTAAATAAATTACTATAATGTTCTGGAGTTATCTCAAGGCAGTACAATATGGCTGCTTTAACTCTTGTGTAATCCCCTGCCTCTCTTTTCTGGGGAAGGCTTGGTAAGTTGCCTGGGCTTTCCCTATGACCAGGGCCCTAGCTGACTCACCCATAGTGATCTCTCTAGGCCCATCTGCACTGCAGCCCTCTCAAAGGTCTCTATGTACAACTCTGGATTGTCATCCCAAGTCATTTTTGGCATTCGGAAATCAGCAGCACTACGTTGGATCCAAGCCTGCTATTATGTGGCCTGTATTTGCTGGGCTTCTAAAGATGTACCTGTGTTTTATCTATTAATGTCTTGCCCTGTACACTTGCCAATGCACCACTATGTACCAGTGCTCATTTGACAGTATGTAACTAAGCACACTACAATTTTAGTCCTTGCCTCTGAGGTCTTGTTCTACAGCCAGTGTTTATCTTGATATGCCTGTTTGCTGGCGTCCGTTCTCACCTGCCACAACTTGGATTTTATTTATTTGGACTGGGAGGCTTCCCCAGGTTAAATTCATCAGGTGAGAGTAATGGCTGTTTCCTCAGGGCTCCTACCTCCTCTTTCATCCTAGCCATTCACCAACCAGATGTTACCTCATAAAAGCTCAAAGTCCTTTTATGTCAATTCTATGTCAATCCTAATAATCAGTCAATTAACTTAATAAAGTCTTATTGCAATTTATCAAGGAAATGGTGTTATTAATGAACTCATGATTCAACATTTTCTGGTACCATATCTTTATTCCTGGTTATGTGACTTTCTCAGCAACATCATAGTCTGGGTCCTGCTCCGGTGTCCTGTTTGCCAGTCCCTTCTCCTGCTTGGCGTCTGTCCACTCTCTGAGGTAGACTGCCTACGCCAGGCCAATCTTGGTCCCGCAGCCAGCTGCTTTCCTTTTCTTGACTCCCAAGTTTGTGCCGGTCTTCCCCGGTTTGCTTGCCCTGATACCAGTCTTCCCCGGTGTGGCTCTTCTGGTGCCAGTCTTCCCTGGCATGGGGGCATGGTTGCCTTCGCCGGTCTTCTTTGGCTTGTTGCTCTGCTGGTGGTCTTCCATGGCTTCCCTCCTCACAGCTATTTGCCAGTTTTCTTTTAAAGCTGGCTTGTCACTTCCAGTTAAACCAGAAGCAGCTGGCTGTCCCCGCACACACAGCCAGCACGTGTTTTTAAAGCATGCTGGAGGCTATGTGGGACTCATCTGCCATTCTTCTGATATTGCTGAGCCGTCCTTCTGCTGGTGAGCAGCTCCTGTGGCCCTTCCTGGGCCAACCATTTTCTCGTTGGGGTTTGACAGCTTTCTTCTTGCTGGTCCCCGCTTGGGACCTTCCAGGAGTGTGGGAGGTGTGCTCCCACAGTCTCTCTGTGGTCATCACACTGTTTCATCCACACATTCCAAGCTCATCACATGCACACCCTTCCCAAAACAGGAATTTTAGGCCCCCCTCTCTGGCCTTGTGCATTGGTGCCACAGCATCTCATGTTATGGAACAGTGTGGTAAATGCCCCCACTTTCTCAGGCTGCATGTATATCCATTGGTCTTGTTGTGTTAGACAGGCTGTTGGCTTCTGAAGGTTGAAGTAACCTGTGTGTGTGAGACCCAAGCTTTTAAAAATCAATTAACCCCTGCTGCCCATCCTAAACCATCCTAATGTATGCATATATAGATAGATATCTATATCTATCTATAATATTATAAAACCCTTAGTCTGTCTGTCCATAACACTTCATTTGCACTCTGATTGGTTGTCTGAAACAACCAATCAGAGTACTCCAAGAGCGTTCTGGACAGGAGGCAGTGGTGGAGCGCCGCCACGATGGTGGGGACAGAGCTGAGGGTGAGGCCAGCACTGCTGGCCTTGCCCCCCCCCCTTCTTCTTGGAGGTGGCGGTGGCAGGTGGAAAGGGCCCAGACACCAAGTGGTGGTGGGGCGGGGAGCTGCCCTGGGCCCGATATGGTTGTGGGGGAAGGGAAGAGCAGGCCCAGGGCCAGGCTCAACGTGGCCGGGGGGGAGGAGCGGGCCCGGGGCTGATGTGCTGCGGGGGGAGGGGAGGAGCAGGTCTGGGCCTGACCCAGTGGGGGAGGAGGGGACGAGTGGGCCCAGACCTGACACAGCTGGGGAGGTGGGGAGCAGAGCCAAACCCCAAGTGGTGGCTGGGAATGTGTTAAACAGGCCTGGATGAAGGAGGGAGGTGGACACAGGGCTCTCTCCCCTCAGCTGCCCCGCCCATCATTCTTGACGGGCAATTTTCTTTTATATATATATACACATATATGTATGTATGTATGTATGTATATGTATATATATATACACATACATACATACATACACCCCCCCCGTAAGCCAATTCCCAAAAAGCAAACCTTTAAATACCCTTTTTAAGCCATCACAGGGCTTCACTTTCCCTATACCCTGCCTCTCTCCTCGTATACCCTGCCCCTTTCCTCTTAGGCCTGTGATGGAAATTCCCAGTTCATCTGTAATGGGGATGCCTATCAGGGTCCAGTCTCTGAACTCCTGGATCTTTTTAGTCTTTTGCTCACTGGTGCTTCTTCTCTTGCTGAATGCTTTCCCTTATGAAACTTAGAAACTCATTTAAGTAGTCCTTAGATCAATTTATTTATTATTCCCCTGGCCTTCCCCTCCACCTTACTTCAGGCTTTACAAAATCAGTTCCCTTGGAGATGCTGAGGTAAAGGCTGTGCGGCTGTTCCTAATCACTAGTCAGTCTCCTCTGCGCCTCTCCTTCTCGACTGTAATTCATTCACACTGATAAAATAAATCATGGCTTATTTCTTAATCACGGACTCAAATTCATTCAAATTTCATAAAATAATCACTTTTTCTTTGAGTACTGTATCACCATTTAGTTAGGCTGCATAAATCAGTCCTGAATTCTTCTTTCACTTCTCCTCATGCTTACTGGGCAAATCTCTCCCTTGCCTTGGCACCAGTCCCACTGGGTCCCATCCTCCCTCACTCTACTGGTTTCTGCTGGCTGTTCTGGGGAATGTCTCCCTTTTTGGCTTGTCTTTAGTGTGGCCATAGAGACCCACACTGCCTGCTGTCTGCTTTACTTATCTTTTCCCGAGGAGCTTTGGATCCTCATTCGGAGCTTGTTTGGGCCTTGGTGGCTCCCACCAGTTCAGCTGCCTAGATCTTCTTTTTTCTCCAATCTATGCAGCTCCTGGTTTTGCTGGTTTCTCTTAACTGAGAGTCCCCATCTGGCCTCTTCTTTAAATGGTCTGGTCCACCTTCTGAGCCAATCAGAACAGGCTCCCTGGGGCACCTGGTCCCGTGCCTCTGGGGCCTGTCCCATCTCCTGTTTCCCCTCCTGAACCCTTTTCCAGTGCATTGGGAACAGGCTGCTATCCCGGTCCCACACCAGTAAGTCCCTTGCTGCCTTGGCTGGCGCTATGGGTCTGGAGCAGGTGCTTGACTCCAGCCCCCACTACACAGTCTTCTAGTGACAAGTCACAGCTGTGCAGGTGGGAGACTGTCAGAGAAGAAGTTTATACTTTAGATATGCCTGCTCCAAAGTTGAGCTAGCACTAACATCGGTCAACATTTGAGCAGCTCAAAGTGCAATGTGTAACAAGGCCTTAAGACATACAGGATTGCTCTCTACCAGAAAACATTCTCCATTAATTTTGTGATTCTCAAAGGATCAAATCTACTTGGCAGTTTCACTTAATATATTTTAATGTGAATAAAAGGAATAGCTTAGAAAAATCCCCAAATCTAAAACTTAGTCTCTTAATTCTTTACAGTTTAAAGTACTTACAGATTCAGGATTTTTTATGGAGGCCTTAAACGAACTGAGTCTGCTTAATCATGGAGAAAGAACTCCCTGGAAACTACCTACAGGCTGCAGACCTTTGGGGAAAAATATGGTAATATACATACATTTTAAATGATCTACACCTTTTTATGCTACTAATCTATAGCATTTGGTTCTCTTTCTTAAAATTAAAAAGATCCAAAATTTTCACATGCAGCATAGCCATTTCTACTTCCTAAAAGCTTCTAATGTCCTTGCCTCTTTCAGTGTGCAGTTTAGATATCTGCCATTGAATGAGACAGATCTTTTTATATCTATTACATACACGCAATTTGTAATATATTATAATACATTATGTAATATATATATTTCATTGTACTACCTCTCTGCATGTGGGGTGTAGAGGGAGAATGGTAAAGTCATTTCATTGTGTTATTGAGAGAGCTTTGCTCTAGATTCATGGTAAAAGCTGGCTCCAGCAGACCTCGTTGTTTGGCCATTTAGGCTGGGGAGTCAAAGATGGCTAGATGTGATGCTGGCTGCATTGCTCCCTTGTGTACTGTTGCTACAGAAAGTACCAATTAGTACACCACATTAGGCGTGTCTACACAAGACACTATGTCACCATGCCCACCTATGCCCCTGCACAGTAGCAATGAACTACTGTGCAGTAGGGTCAGAAATGGTCAGTAGGGTCAGTATATCTAGACTTCCAAAAGGACTTTGATCTAGTATTCCACAATGTCCTTGTAAAAAAATTGGAGGATTGTGGGCTTAACTCCAAGGCAGTCAGGTGGGTGAGAAACTGGCTGCAGGATAGGACCCAGAGAGTTGTAGTGAATGGATCTGTGTCATCTTGGTGAGAAGTGGGCAGCGGTGTCCCGAAGGGGTCAGTGCTTGCTCCAGTACTTTTCAACATCTTTATTAACGATTTGGATGTGGGGGTGAAAAGTTCACTGGCCACGTTCGTGGACAACACCAACACCAACAAGCATGGTCACGCTTAAAGATAGACTACAGATACAGGAGGACCTAGATAGACTAGCAAGTTGGGCGAATTGGAATCTGATGAAGTTCAACGTTGAGAAATGTAAAGTGCTCCACCTCGGGACGAGCAACCCTCAACACAGCTACAGGCTTGACAGCACCAAATTGACTAGCACCATGAATGAAACGGACCTGGGGGTAATAATAGACCACAGTATGAATATGAGCCGGCAGTGCGATGCTGTAGCCAGTAGGACAAATAATACTCTGGCATGCATCAATTGATGCATCTCCAGCAAAACCAAGGAGGTGATTATTCTGCTCTGCTCAGCACTGATCAGACCACAGCTGGAGTACTGCATCTAGTTCTGGGCACCACATTTTAACATGGACGTGGACAAGCTTGAGAGAGTCCAAAGAAGAGTCACCCGTATGATCAGAGTCTTACATGGCAAGCCATAGGAGGAAAAGCAGAGTGATTTGGGACTCTTCAGCCTGAAGAAAAGAAGGCTGAGACGGGACCTGGTAGCAGCTTTGCTACACTAGGGGAGTACATCAAGGGCTCAGTGAGCAACTATTGACCAGGGCACGGGAGGGGAAAAACTAGGAGTAATGGCCACAAACTCCTGTAAGACCAATTCAAGCTCAACATTAGGAAAAACTTCTTCACATTCAGGGTGTCCAGACTGTGGAGTAAGTTCCCTCCAGAGGTGGTGCAATCACTTACCCTGGAAATCTTCAAAAGGAGACTTGACAGTCACCTTGCTGGGGTCACCTGACCCCCAGTTATCTTTTCTGCTTGGTGCAGGGAGCTAGACCCAATGATCTTCCGAGGTCCCTTCCGGCCTTACAATCTATGAATATGAAGATATTCTAAAGTCCAAGGTAAATATTGAATCATTTCTTCAGTTACTTTGTGTTATGAAGCCTATGCAATGAGTACAGCAGACGTGATATAGAAGAATAATATGTGATCATATAATTAAAGACTCTTAGTGAAATCCTAATTGTATTTAAGTCAAAATTCCGTTGTGGGGCCCAGTTTTCACCCTTCTTTATAAAGCCAGCAGAGTGAAAAATGTGTACACAAAATTGATTTTGTCATTTTCTGATTGTGGAATATTTTATTTGTAATTTTAACTTTCTTTTAAGTTAGTCACTTGCAAAGCTTCCATATATATGTATATCTATATCTATGTGTGTGTTATATATACTGTATATGTACCGTATGCAGACACAGTGTATTTTCTTGCATACAACAATTTTTTGCAGTTATACTACAGGAGAAGCTTGTAGCCCTTTAGAAGGACTGTTTTCATCTGAAATTTGGTTAGTCCCAAAAGATGAGTAAAAAATAGTTTTATATACCAAAGTGGCTCTGAGTTCCCTGCAAGTTTTATAGTAATATGACAGTCCTCTTGTTCTAAAGTGTTTTCTTCCCTGGTTGCAATGTGAAAAACTCATACAAGCTATAGTGGGAAGAGAGTGATTGCAAAGAAGAAGTGAAATGGACTAAGTAGGATGCAAAGTAAGGGTAAAGTTGCATGTTACACCTAGACCATACTAAATATGTGGAAAGTTAAGTGGTACTAAAGTTAGAATGAGCAGTCTCATGTTAAGGGTTAATACCGTTTCTTGTCTGCACAGTTCTGATTTACCATTAGAAGGCTGGCAAGCAGGGGTGCAGCTAGGAGACAGGACACTTGGGCTCTATCCCTGCTCTGGTTAGCAGGGAGGGGGCTGGAAGACGTGGTCTGCAGCAGCAGGAGCATGGAGCTGGGAGGTGAAGAGGCATAGGGGCTGTGGCTTTCCTTTGCAGACCACCATCCTGGGGTGGAGGGTAGGGGTAGAGCCCTCCACCACTGTCGACCTGACTCCAGCCCCACAGAGCAGCCCTCTTTCCCCACCTGCTTCCCCAGGGTGGAAATGTAGAGGCCTACAGAAGGAAGTCATAGCCCACATGCCTGCATGGCTCTGCACCTCCCAGCTCCATGCTCCTGCCACTGCAACCCCAATCCTGGTGCTGGCAGAGTCCCGCCTGCTCCTAGGTAGTACCACACCCTAGGCAGTAGAGTTTAGAAGGGTGCTAATGACTCCTTCACACAAACTCCATGGGGTTATGGGTTAACAGACTGAATGTCCTTCAAGCATAATATACTACTGTTACTTTCTAGAGGGCACAAACATAATACATATACACTTTTTAAAGAAAATAATTGCTATATAGTAGTATTTTTTGCTCTCATTCTGAAAATCATCTCAATTCAGGACAGGCCTTGTACATGCACTTAAGCCTCATTTAAGTGTTAAGACTTAATTGCTTTCCTGAATTCCTGCCTAACAACATACTATATTAACACAATAATGTTACATCAGTTTTCTTCCCCCACCCTTTACATTAATTAGCAGTTCACATATTATTCATTGTTACATTTTGTTTAATTACAGGTCTTTCAGAAATTTGATCCGTCAAAATCACTCTTGTCCAGTGTAAATTTACAGGTAAGAAAACACCTTCCCCTCTAAAGTTTTGTCTCTGAAGCACACCATGCTCCTCTGCCTCCTAAACCAGAAGGAATGGAGCCATGCCCACTTGATACTGCAGGTAGCCTAGTCAGGGTGGGGTTATTAACACTCACATAACAGAGCTATGCAGATGTTGTTACAATTCTTCTGGTCGAGGCAGTGCATACAGAGCAGCTTGATATGTTCATAGAGCTAAAATGTTAAAACAGAGCATGACTGTGTACCTTTATGGCATCAGTTAAACATTTCAGGAACTGTAGGGCTTAGTTTATTTTGTAATATATAGTTTCTATATGACCTTGCATTTTCTATTATATTCACTGTAAAAGCTTCCCTTTATTATTATAATAAGGGACATTCTCTAGCACTTTAATATTAAACTTCACAACAGACTGCTCAGGAAATAAGTTAGTGCTATAATCACCCACTTTTTTTTCATTGTGACATAGAAAGATTGTGAGTTGACCAAAGTAGATGACTACCCCCTTAGGTTCCATTATGAGATCTGATTTCTAGCATATATACCTCCTTATGCTACTGAGAACTTCCTCTAGTTTTGTTATTCCTTTCAATACTATTTCAGAAGATTTTTTTAATGGCAGAATGGCAGCTGAAATCCATTGTGGGGGGAAAAAAAAGGAAAGGTCACAAAATCTATAATCTACTTAATGAACAGTCATGCCTTATATTAATGAAAGATGCATGCTAACTGTTGATTCATTTTCTACTTTTTTTTTTTTTTTTTACTTTGTCTCCCTACTGCTATATGAAAGACCTACACAGATCACAGGGGAAAATGACTAACTGAATGTGCAGGAGAAATAATGAAGCAGACTGATTATAAAAAATGTACTGTAAACAAACTGAGGAGAGAAAAAAACTATTTCCCCCCATGATTTAATTGATTTACAGTTAGTTTGTGTGTTGTTTGTAATAATCAAAGTGTAGCAGACAGAAGTGAGATTTCTAACTGGCCAGTTTCCCTTCCTTAAAAAGCTTATTTAAAAATGTTTTATGTCAGTTTGAAGGTACATGTTCAATCTTCAATTGATAATTGAAACACTGGCTCAAGATCTCTCCTTTCTTGGGTCTGCTGTGCTGTGGTATATGATTTTTTGGAAGCCATTTAAGCTTTCCTGCTTCTAAGGTTACTCATCTAGTATGAGGCTGTTAAATTACTTGAGTGTTTTGTGACTTTAATTAAACTATTTCTGTTCAGTGTGTAGCCCTTGAAGAAAGGGCTATATAATTGCCCCCCAAAATTTTGTGTTTTTCTTTCTTTGTAGATGAGAAGTAGGTGTTTAATGGAACCAGGGTTTCACCCATCTTTTTAAGGCAATGGAAGTTAGCCATTGACTTAAATGAGATCAGGAATTCACCTCTCTATTGGACAGCTTTCTGCTGATCCCTAGTGTTAATGTATTGCGCAGAAATGTTATATTATGAGGTCAACAGACAGCTGTTATACATTGCTTTTTAAACCATATATAAGCATTGTAGAGTGTTAGAAAGCAGATCTCAGAAGGGACCCTCTGATTCCATGGGCATTCTTCTGCTGCAGTCAAGTCATCACTTTTCTCTGTCACAACTTTTCTGTGTCCATTTTCCTATCTGAGAAGCAGGGATGATAATAATTCTTTCACTTCAGAGGGCCATGGCTTGTGAGGGGGGATGCTTACAAATTATTATTATTATGAATAATAAAAAAGAAGCATTTACAGATGAGGAGTTATTGTCGATCCTGTGGGAAGAACATTTCTATTATTAGTTTTGTGCTGCAGGTTTAGTTTGGGGCTTTCTCTTGAGGAGGGGGATCAGGTAGACATGGTGCAAATTATAGCAGTTTGTTTCATGCCTTAACCTTTCTAAGGAGGGTCACTTTTGTGGGCAGAGTTTAGATTTGGGGTTGAGATTTCTGAAATAAAGGTTATTTGTGATCACCTTTGTTCAAAAGACTGCTGTATGCAGTGTTAATAATAATAATAGTAGTAGTAGTGATAACAAAGTAACACTAAGGCTAGGGACAGAAGTTACACATAAATCAGTTTAAAACTAATTTAAACCTGTAATAGAAACTGGTTTAAACCTGTAACAGGACAGAAGTTCAGTGCATATAAACCAGTTTCAAAATGACCAAAACTGGTTTAAGATAAACCTGGTTGAATGTAGTATCAGACTTAATTGATTTGGGTCAAACCGGTTTATGGAATGTCTGTCCCAGACCCCTTGCTGGTTTAAGGTAAATCAGAGACCCCCAGCATGCTTTTCAGCCCTGGGCCGGGCTGTGCTGTCTGCTCCAGAGACCAGAGCTGGCCCTGCCCCTCTGCTCTCTAGCTGGAGCAGGGGTGGGAGCAAGGCCAGCTGGCCCAGAATGGCCCCCTGAGGCAAAGGGGGCAGGGAGGGGTTTATTTCTCCCCTCCCTCCCTTCTTCCCCTGGAGGACGCCAGCTGGGGTCTGCCTGACCAGGGTGGAACAGCCCCTGTCAAGCATTCCCCTCCCCCGCCCCTGGAGCAGCAGCGGGGTGTGGCCAGCCCCGGCAGCAGCCTCAAGCGAACACGGATGGAGAGGGGTTTAATTCCCCCCTCCCTCTCCCGTCCCACTGGCATGGAACCCAGCCAGGGTATGTCAAGCTTTTCCCCCCTGTTCATGGCTCAGCACAGCCCGGGACCCCCAGAGCCTCCCTCCCAGCCAGGGGGCAATCCTGCTGTACCCTCCCAGCTACTGGGGCTGGCGTTTCGCTTGGGGCAGCCCACGAGCAAAGACCAGACTGTGGGGGAGGGAAGGGAGCAAAACGGTGCCAAGCCCAGGTGGGGACACGCAGAGGGATTGCGGCGGTGGTGGCTCCATCCTGGATGCGAGCCCTGCCAAACAGAGGGACCCAGGCTAGGGGGAGATGGGAAAACCGGCTCAAGTGTGTCTGCGCTAGCCTAGGGCAGAGCTGAGCATGCAGCTGGAGGAGCAGCTTCTGGCCTGTGGCTTCTTCTACCCACTGGAGAGCAGCGCCTGGGCTGGCCCCAGCCCTTGCAGCAGCACACCCAGTACAGATTTGCCACCTCACTCCCAAGCACTACTACCTGCATCTTGCAGGCTGCTGGGCGCTGACCTGGGCATGTTATGCTCGCTCTTCTCCTACCCAGACACAGCATGGCCCCATGTACCAGGCACAGGGTGCTACCTGTATGCCTTCCCCACTGCTGCCCTGGCTATACTGGTAGGTGCTGCCAAACTGCAGCTAGCCACTGGGCAGGCAGTAGTGGGGTGGGGAAGCTGTAGGGGTAGCGCCTGGTACCTGGTATACAGGGCCGTACTGTGCCTGCAGCTTCCCTACCGCCACTCTCTGGGGGGTGGCCAGATGCCAGCCTGGTGTGGCCCCCTGAGGTGAAGGGAGCGGGGAGGGGGTTTATTCCCCTCTCCATCCCCTCTCCCTCCAAGGGACTACAGCTGGGGTCTGGCAGCCCTGGCCACTGCCTCTGTCACTTGCCCCCCAGATACGCAGACCCTGGCAGGCGTTCACTGGGAGGAAAGGGGAGGGAGGGGGGCAGTAAACTGCCTCCCTGGCCCTTTTGCCTCAGGGGGCCATGCAGGCTGATGTCTGGCCACACCCCTTCCCCTACTGCTGGAGCAGCGAGGGGAGCAGGACCCTGATGGGGCAGCAGCCCCTGTTATGGTGTCCTGGGGAGAGCATTCACTTTTGTATTCACTTTTAGTAGACTAACCTGGAAAGATTGAATCAACTTGGGCTCGGGCTTTTTAAATGTCTGTCCCTAGTAGAGTATACCTAGACTCACTCATTTTTCCTCCAGTTGGAAACTGGCCTGCAAAGCTCTGGCATATGCTTCCATGGGGCACATTATGTTAGGGAAAAGAAATAACAATTTTTCCAAAGTGGCAAACATCTTATTACTCTGTTCTAGTCATATCTGTTTGTATCTTCACAGACATCATTATAAATAGAGGTATGGCATTTCTGTTTTCAAATGCAAATACCATGTAATTTCATGTTAATTCAATTTATTAATTTTGCTGTAGGTGCTAGAAGACATTTTCAATTGGAACCTACCTCCAGCCATGATTTCAATGTGCAACAAGAATCTCATGAATAAATTAACTTTGGCCAAAATGCATTTCATCATTCGTCTTTCTGCAACAATAAATAGTATTCCTGAAGAAGTGATGAAAACAACCTATGTTATAGATAATACCAGTTGTAAAAAGCCAGGCAGAAGCATAGACTCAGGAATAAGAGGTGAAAAGTTTGCCCATCATTTGTCATTCAGTTTGTTATATGTACATGTTTATCACTTTTAACAGCTGTATCTGCATTATATTGACATATTTTAAACAGTACTCATATTTCATTGTGCTGAAAATGAAAATTGCGTAATATTTTATTTTAGAAAATTCAAACATTTAGGTTTCAAACTTTAAAATTAAAATTCATATTTTGATTTTATTCAAGTTAGTTTTCATTTTTATTATATGTTTTCATACTTCTGTTAATGGTTTTCATTTCTTTTTCTTATGGTTTTTAATGCTTCGTACTGTTTTAACATGTCCCAATCACTTTCATCTAAATGATATCCGTTTTCCGTCTAGGGAAATGAATGGCTCTCTCTGAATACCTCAACAGTAAACATGTACCTGATAATGCTCAATAAGTCTTGTACTTTTTTCTACATATTTAGGTTGCTTCAGTTATTGGTTCTTTTAATTATGTGTGTTGTGGTAGTCCTCAAAATGTGTTAGAGCCTTTCTAAACACAAAAAAACAACTTGTGGCTCAAAGACAACGCTATATAAATGAGTATAGAGATTACACAGATTATATGGATAATCTTTATATAGATTAATATAAAGAAGGGGTTACTTACACGAACAATAGCATGGACAAAGTCAGATGTGTATTTGTCTGTTCCTGGGTTGTTTGCCTCAGTTTGATTTTTAAATATATGTAGTATTCCGAATTTCCCTTGTTGACATGGACTTGTTGTTTTCATCACAGGAGTGGTTCTTTACATGAGGGAGGGTTTAATCTTGCCTATTTCCAGCCCCCCATCCATCATCATCATCATCATCATTAACTGCCAGATCCAGCATCTTTCTGTGACTGGCAATATATTACTATCACTCATCTCTTCCTTACCAGATTTCTGCATCAGTTTCCTCCCAGGAGCAATCTCTTATAATAATATCCTTCTGCAACCTGTCTTCTCATCTTTTGTGGTCTTTCCAGCAGACTTTTACTTCAGTATACATCCTCAGTATTCCATATTGTGTCCTGTCCTTGTCTCTTCTTTTCATGTGTTCCTTCATCTTCCTATTTGTATCGTCTGGCTTTTGCAATTTAGTTTGCCATTTAGGCAGTCATGCCTCATTTCAAATCTCCTTGATTTACCAGCAGTTTTCCATAAAACACACATTTCTGTTGCTTACAACTGGCTCAAGTCCCTCTTCATTAGAACCCAAGTCTCTGTCATAAAGAATACAGTCAGCACTGAGCATCATTAATGTCCATTCCCTAGGATGAGATAAAGTATTTAAATCCATCAGTTGCATTTAACACTTCTCCTCTTAAGACAACAGTTTTCCCTAAGTCCGTGAACCTCCAGACTTAGAGACCTATAAGTGCAACTCATAGGTATGAAATGCAAAAAGTTTGACATGGTAATAGAATAAATATGAAAATTGATTGATATTGAATCAATATGAAAATTGTTGATTACTTATTAGATATTGAATGAAAAGGAAAAGAGAATACACTCTTCATATTATTGAGAGTAATTTGCTTAATTGTACTCCTGTGTCATTTGAAGCTTTACTTGTAATTTAATTGTCACCTTTTGCTTTTACAAATTTCATTTGCCAGTTAATGCTGAACTGAATTCACGAAAACAGGAACAAAACATCACAACTGTGCAACTTGTTAGATGTAAAGATGAATTAAACATGGCCATGCTCAAGGTAATTTTTATTAGAAAAATAAACTTAGGAAATAATTCATAAAATATAACAAATATTTTCATTGTTGCAGACATTTTACTGGGAGGGATTAGATCACTTGCAGAACTGGAAATTTGTTCAAAAATCTTTTCTAGGTCAGTGGTTCTAATCTGATCCAAGTTGCTAGTGATTGTAAGTAAAATCAAAGATGTTCAGTTTGCTCTGTTGAATGATTTTTGGTGGTGACAGTTTGCTTCCTGCAAAACATATGTCCACAACATAAGAAAATACTGTTACAACCAGATACTAAAATGATTTTTCCAACAAAGAGATCCAGCCGCCTCCTGGGAGGTGTGCGGGAGTGCCCCCAGTGGCCACTGTGGGCAGGCTCTGAGCCCCCACTGATTGAACAGTGAATGTCTGTTCGGGTTGCTTATGCTCTAACTTATAGCGCTTTAAGTAAAGCACGATACAGCTCTTCCACCAGGGACTTTTTGAACATCTTAGCCATAGGCATATATTTCAGAAAAGTTAGAATATAATAGAAGGTTTCTTCCAACATGAAAAATAATTTCATTTTCTTTACAATTGAAGATTTCTAACCTATTATAATAGTATATAAAGACTATTATATAAAGAAAGGAATAAAATGTTTAACTGATTTCTCTAATACTGTTATGCTATTTAGTAGAATGTGTTTTGCAAGATGTAATGTGTGTAGTCATAATTTATAATAGCACCAAGCATAGAAAAATATGTAGTGTTGCATTTAGTATATTGAATTTATAACTGCAAAAAAGGAAATTGCTTATAGAAATAGAATACTGTATTCATGATTATGTATTTCAAAATATGGAAAACAGCAGATGATAGCAGAGTAGAATACTTTTTAAGTAACTTTTCATCTGCATTATTTCTTGAAATTACATACGTACTGTGATATTCTGCTCTTAGGGTTTTTTATTGACAGAAGCTGAGAAAAAGCTTAACCATCTTGTAACAAACATACAGAATGAATATGACAGGAAGATTTCTCAGTTTTCTGCTGTAGAATTAGAAATTGTTGTTGAGGCGAAGCTTGAAGTTGCAGCTATCTCTCAGCAGAGACATCAAGCAGCTTTCAGGTAAATAACATCATGACCAGAATTCATTGCAGCTTGTAGCATGTAAGATAAAAAAAAACTCAAGCCCAACAGCCCTTATTTTCAATCACCTATGCTTTCAAAGATGCTCAAATATTTCAAACCTTAGAAACTGACCAAAAGTAAAAACAGTAATTTACTGTGTGTATGGCAGCCTGTATTTTGGAGCCTACTTTTTTTTATTTTTTGGTTTGTTTATTAAAAAAAATCATACAGCAGTTGCCCTGTTCAGCATGTTTGTGATGTTGTATTGCACAGTATTTTTTAAAAAGTCAGGTCTTCAGTGTTTGTTGAAATAAGGATCTGAAAATTTTAGCAAATGCCTCCCTACATTTGGTGTACTTCGCATGTATGCAGGATACTCTAGGCACTATAGAAAGTATCTTCCTACATTTGATATGCTTCTAATATATGCTGTATACTCTTGGCAGTATAGAACCTTGTTTAATTTTAAAGTGTCTTTGTGTCATTGAACTAAGAGAACATTTTTCACTAATTTTAACTTTAGTACTTTATTTTATATATAAATATCTTTGTACTAATTTAACCTTTAATACATTTCAGTAAGTTGCATTGGGTATTAATTGCACTACTATATACTTATATATTTTTTAAATGAATTAATAAAAATGTGTGGAATTTTGATTTTTCACATTACTCCTGAATTTATAAATCTGCATAAAATAGTTCTGCTGCACTTGAAATATATGGTACACACTAAACGTATTAATTCATTATAGACATTTCTGTATACTCTTCTATATATGATGCTAATGGTTCATTTGGGAGAATGTTCTTGTTTATTATAATTGATAGTATGAAATCATATAGGTGAATCTATTTTTAACAGAATTATAATGCTATTACATTATTTTTGTCTAATACAATCTTCAGTTTATTATAATGTATAATTTATGTTATAATTTAACACAATTGTCTAATAGAAAAATCTAAGAGTACTTGAGGTGGAGTAGGTTGCTGAGTAGAGGCTTAAATTTAGCAGATTAACCATTTGTAGACTTATCTCCAGTATTCTACTTTATTTTTCCATTCTCTCCAGTATCATCATACTGGTCATGCGACTCACCTTCCTAGTATTCTGACACTTGCCTACCGTCCAGCTATATTCTCATGCAGCCTTTAGTCGCAGCCTGCCAAGAGCACAGTTGTTGCCTCAATATATAGAATAATACTGATTGTACTCTGGACTCATCTAACACTCCATCTTCAGAATACTGTACAGACATTCACTAATTAACTGAAGGCATTAGGATAGCACTGCTGCATGGCTTTTCAGCTGAATTTTCTTTGGCTTATTTAAAAGACAGTGGAGGTTTCCTTAAAATCAAGGCATTAGGGCTATGATTACGTTGTATCGGGTTTAATAAGGCAATTAGTAAAGATAGGAAATGAGAACCTGAGGATCACCTACAGGCCTACGTTTCTTCTTCTGAAATCTGTGTGGCTTGCTAGTCCTGTCAAGGCAGATTAATGCTGCTGTAATTTTCTCCAAGAGAAAAAAAACCCAGTGGGCAATGACCTCTCCATGCTTTTGATTGATATGTTGATTTTATGAAGCTTTTGTCAGTCTGCTAAGACTGTGCAAGGTAATCTAAGCAAGCTAGTTTAAATATCAGAAGTAGTACATCTGCATTAGTATGGCACTTTGTCGAGACAAAACTCCTACTTCTTGGGTTAATGCTAATGCAGCTATACTACTTCAGTAGCTGAGCTAGCTTGGAAATCTTTCCACCGCACTGCACTTTGCTATGTAAACATATTCTAAGTGTGGTGTCTCTCTTTGCTTACATCTTGCTTCAGATATACAGCCCTTTTTACAGTCTCTTAAAAGTCCTTGTTTATCATATCCATTTCATGGGCTGTCTTCTGGGCTCCCGTACATGGTGATGAGTGTTTAGTGGAACTTAGATATCAAAGCTTCAGTTGTCCATTTGAGTAGTCAGGCAGGCAGGAAGTCCTTTTTTTCTTTGCCGTCCATGAGAACTGTTGGTATCTGCCACAAATACAAATGAATATTTTGATTATTGCCTCAGGAAAGTTGAATGTTTCCTGCCCAACTGGAAATCAAAACTATTCATGATTTTATAGAAATGTGTCTGGTGCAATATTTGAATGTTTGAGCAGCAGTGAAAGTGTTAGAGGCAGTTGTGTTTCCAGATTTTGATCATTTTGGCTGCTTACAGATATGGGGCGGGGGAAACAACACTTTACTTTCAGCTCGGTGTGCCCCCATGCCGAGCACAACACATGGCCAGAAGAGGTGTCACGATGCCAGTTTGACCTGGCCCACCCGACGTCTGCATGCTTCAGCAGGGCTTTTTGATGCTTTTAACTAATAGCTGATTGAATCAGCTATTAAATAAAAGCACTGAAAAGCCCTGCTGAAGTGTGTGATCTATACAAGCATTAGGCGAGCTGAGTCAAACCAACATGCTTCCTCTTCTGGTAAAGCACTGGGTTTTTTTTCCATGTCTGTCTGTTTGTCTGCCAGCATCAATGAATATTTTGATTATTTCCTCAGGAAAGCTGAATGTTTCCTGCCTGACTGGAAATCGAAACTTTTCATGATTTTATAGAAATGCATCTAGTGCAATGTTTGAGCAGTGGTGAAATTGTTAGAGGCAATTGTGTTTCCAGATTTTGATCATCTTGTCATTTTCTAATAGTGCTGATACAGTGATGTAGGTATTTTGTCAAGGGAAATATATAGACACATTACTCTTGTTGACAGGAAAAATGAGTCACAAAAATTTCATCTGGAGAAACTTCCACTTTACAGTTTCTCTGCAAAACCTTTATGCCTGTGAGAAACTTTATCTGCAAAAGCAATCCATTGAACTCCCATTATGTGAAGTTTCGTATTTCCTAGCTACGTAGAAGGTAAGGCAGGGTGGCAGGTTTTGAGATTCACTGGTTTAGAGAAGCATGGGCTTTTGTAAGCAACAGCTTGTTTTGTCAGATGCTATGAGGAAGATGCTAGAAAAGCTCCTCTTTCTGAACCAGTTCGCTTCTAAGGTGCTACTCTGCCTTACCTTTGCTTGATCTCAGGCAAACATGGCAGCCACCTCTGTTTCCTAGTTAAAGATCTTGTCTATCTACAGATAATATTCCGATTTGCTCCTTAGGCACTTGCACATTGCAGCATCTAAAAAGTAGGTGCCTGGCCTCAGGGGAGTGATTCAAAGAAATAGGTTTAGGCATATAGGACGTTATCACACGTGCTCTGGGGTGGAGTGGGTGGGGGGGTGGTTGCTTTAATTAGAGTGCCTTTGAAAGCCATTCACTGACCTTTAGTTAAAGCACCCCCCACTGTCATATTGAAGCACGGGGATGCTGAATACACATGACACAAAGGCTGCTGGAGCATGCTAATTAGCACGCTTCAGCAGACTCAGTTAATTGAGTCTGTTCCAACACTTGCTAATTAGCATGTTTTCGAGCAGATGTCCAGCATGTGTACAGGTGCCCATAGTCTCCTTATACAGTCTACTGGGAGAGTTAGAAATCACAAAGGACAATTCAGAGAGCCCAGATGCTGAACGAGGTTCTAACAGTGCACACCTTTGACACAAAATCCAGATGATTAGAGCATTTGCACAGGAAGTGGGAGACTTGATTCCTCTCCCCCCACCCCTGCCCTGCCATCTTATTCAGAAGAGGTTCAGTTCTTTAAACCCTAGGTCATAGAATAGGAAGGTGCCTCCATGTCTTCTGCTGGAGCTGAGCCACTGAGCAGCCAAAGCTGCAAGGATGATGGGGACAGAAGAAGACCATGTGCAGGGAAGTGAAATATCCAGCCCATGTGCTGAATCTGCCTTGCGGAACTGTGTCATCTGGCTCACAGGTTAACTTGGAATTTGGGGGTTTGGAAAGAGAGATATAACCCTTGAAATCCAGGGTACAGGGTCCCACTCGGGATGCATTTAGGTGGCAGGGGTGTAAGTGATGGCTGTGTTAATCCCTGTTGGCTCCCTGAGATGACATAATATGCCCCTGGACCTGCCACCACTGCTGCTCACCCTGGTGCCAGAGATGAATCCAGAGGGGCTTTTGAGGATCCCTTTGATCCGGATTTGGATTGGTATCTGACCTTGTATGAAATGATTAGAGCTAACTGGCATAAATAAAAAATTCTAGGCTTGTTGACTAGATATATTCTAAATCAATATTTAAACTTCTAAGGTAGAGTAGCCTAGTTTTCAGAAATGCTGCTTGCTCACAGCTGAAGTTAACTGACATTGTGGATACTCAGCAATTCTGAAAAGTAGGCTGCTTTTACTTAAGTGCATATGTATAGGTTTTAGATGGTTCTGTTTGCTATCTTATGCACTGATACTGGTTATATATCTTTTTAAAAAGTTTCTGCAGTATTCTGTTGCACTTATCTTGCGTCTCCTGTAAATTTAACACATATTATCTCTGCAACTTCTTTTTATGGATTTTTTTTTTTTTGCCTAAGCCTATTTATTTTAATTTCAACATGTTGACCATAACATCTGACTCAGAGATGCTCAACTCCTGACCCATGGCCTAAATCCAGCCTGCAGGGCTCCTCACAGGCCTGGAAATTTGGCAATGGGCAAGCAGGGGTACCAATCCCGTGCTGTCAAATTTCCACACTTGTGGGGAGCCCTGAACCTAGCACACTGGATTGGGTGCCTGATCCCAGCGTGCAGGGCCAAGGAAGTATGGTACCAGGCCCCTGGGTACTAGAAATTGGGTGGGGGCTAATCTAAGGCTAATCTTGGTGTGCAGGACCAAGAGAGGGCAATGCCAGGCACTCAGGGCCCAATTTGTTAGATAGCTCTGCTCTACAACAAGAATCTTTTTTGTCATAACTTTTTGTGATTCACTGCGTACTGCTTTAATGGAGCATCTAATTCCTAAGTAGACAGATTTCCACTCACAAAAATCAGAACCACAAGAGATAAAAGGCCAAGGTCTGAAAGACACCGAATTCA